CCATATGCTGTCTACAGTTGAAAAGACAATACACAGGGGTGGGCTGGTACAATAATCCAGGCCAGGAATTATACCATCTCAGGCCACCACCTGATGAACACAAACCACCAAGACTCAGCATGTAATCAGTGTGTTCTCAGTTTAACTGTCTGCACCCATCAACAACTGAACACCAAAGGGTTCTGTTGTGATGCAGTAATACTCAAACCATATTAATCGATATTATGTTCACCTTCATTCAACCATGTATAGTATCAGTACTTTAAACTAAGAATACAGTTTGAAAATCAGCCATAGTTTCATTCAGCAGAGACAAGTGGAGCCCTACAGGTGTGTTGGTTTATTCTCTCACACAAGAAGTCTTAAAGTGTGTAAGGAGCATGCTGGAGGGGGGTCTGGGGGTCCTCCCCCAGAAAAATTTGAATAAATTAGAAGCTATTTCCTGATTTCTAATGTATTTTAACTGGTTGTTAAAGATACTTTTACCTACATAAATAAACATCTGATTTAATGACTGGAGACAGATTCTTCATTAAACTAGTTGCATTTGTCCTGTTTTTAAACTCAGTTATGACTCAGATAATTAAATTAATGTGACAAATTATCCCAAACAAGCTTAGAGGAGGTTTTTATTTATTTATAAGATTGATACATGGATGTTTAGAACTGATTAAAAAGCTAATGATGGATGATTTGACAGGTTTATTTACTGAGCTTTATTGAAATCCCAATTATGAATTCTAATTTCAACCACTTCCTAGAAATAAAAGTTAAATTTAAATAAGCCTATCATTTTTATACTGGTCAAAATAAAATAAATTGCTAAGCATGCGGTAGATTGTGTCTTTAGATCAGTAATTTATACATTAAGTTCACACAACTGACTAGAATGTACTCAAAATAACATTTTATATTTCCTTCTCACCTGCCCATCACCTTCATCTCGCAAGAACCGTTCGTACGCACAGATTTGTTCTTAAGTTGTGCGTACGAGTGATTTAGGAGAATTTGTGACATTCACCAATGTTTTCGTATTCTACGATTTTTTTCAGATACGAACAAAATTTACGAGTGGTCCAGACCTGTCGTATATTTTACCAGCAGTCATTTGAGTTGAAAATAAATCACACTCCATTATTA